TATTGTTTCCGTACCGTGCTTTGATTTCAGTTATAGGTTTTTGGTGACCTGCTAGGCTTTTTGAAGCTCATTATATGTGGTTAATAATTTCAGGTCAGGGCAAAGGAGCAGGAGTGTGAGGTTGATCTGAGTCCTTTAGATTTTTGTTCCTTTTTGTTATAGTTATTCTTTTGTACTCAGGACTGGATGGAATCGTGATTAATGTGTAAATCTGAGTATTGTAAATGAACTTTTGGGAATGAATAGAAACGTTTACTTGATGTTTTAAATTATAGATTTTGTTAGATTGTTTATCACTGATTGATGACTATAGATAGCTCTGGTAGTTGATGGTTTAATGGATTGATAGAATAATTCTTCCAAGTTAGATATTGAGGCGTGATAAACAATCTAACAAAATTTATAATTTAAAACATCATGTAAACATTTCTATTCAATAAAAATCCCACATAACTCAAAATACCCAATGAAAAATCTGCATAAAATATTTTAATTGTGCAAAATCATCATTTCAATAACATACCAAAAGTTACGCGGTAAAAGTTTTGTCAATACAAAGATATGCAAGAATTTCGGTAACGAAAACACAAATCTGAGCAGAAAAATACCAAAACACAAAATTTTTGAAATTATAAATAGGATTCGGATTCCTTACTGCTAGACAAACAATTCGTCCAACTGCATCGACGGACGAAAATTGCTCCGCGGCCTCCAAAACCAAGCCTTTCCTTTCTCTTTCCTTCTCTTTCTCTCTCCAGCTTTCTCTCTCTTCAAAAATATCTCAAAATATCTCAAATCATCTATTTAATGAACTCGATCGTCGAGACGATGTTCTCCATTCGTCCCGGGACGAAGCTCTCCGGACACGATCATACAAACGATAATTAGTTTCATCCCTGGACGATGTTCTCTGGCAAAAAAATTTGTTCAGTTCGTCCAGACGAACCTGCATTTTACTCAGTTTGTACAGGCAGTTCGTACAGACTAACTGAAGAAATTTTCACTGTTCGTCCGTACTAAAGTCAATTTTTACAGACTAACTGCACCCAAAAACATAAAATCTGGAGGGGTTTTACAATCTACCAACCTTAAAAAAAATATCGTCCCCGACATTTCCCTTAAGAACGCCAACATAAAATCGATATAAAACAAATCCATCCAATCAAAACTCAAATCAAATCGAATCAAAATCAAAACCATCGAAAATCATACAGTAATACAGTTCATTCGATCACATGTCATTCAACTGTGTATGCAAAATTATGCACTTGAAACTATCCATTCTATCAAACTCTCAATCAAATCCTATAGCTCTGATAACAATCAATTCTTCCAATAACTACCCAATTCGTCACAACGGGATGGGTCCAGCGCAGACGTCAGGATAGGACAAGAAGGGTCTAGCGCTGACGAATGAGGGACGACTACACTGGATGTTTCGGTGACTGGCCTGACTAGCATGGACAAGACTCGGGACGACATCGATGGCGAATGGCACAGTAGCAGTGGCATGCCAGCGCGGACGGTTGGACATCAATGAGACGTCAAACGCGGTCACACACTCACACGACGACACCGAAGGGCGAAGAGACGAGGTCTGGCCTGGGGTTCCCGGTTTGGTTTCGGGTTTTTGGGTCAACCAGAACCCGAGGTTTTACAAATGGGTCGGAATCCTAAACCCGAACTCAACCCGTTTCTCAAATGAGTTTACCCTTACTCAAAATTTTCGGGTCGGGTTCGGGTTTGATTTTTGGGTCATGTCAAATACTGACACCCCTAATTTCTTCTATGTGAATATTTTTAATGGAATAATAAGCACCAATTAAATATTATGAATGAATGAACATCAATTTAATATTTTGGATGAATGAACATGATTTTCTCGAATAGAGTAATGTTTTAATAGTAGAATACATTAATAATGCATTACAAGCATGTAAATATCTTGGCATTACCCCTAAGTGCAACGCATCATATCATAATTCTCACTACTCCCATGTATAATTTACACGAAAATATTCATTGGAACTTGTTATTAATCATAACTGTAAGTCAGATAAATCCAAAAATCCGCCATTAAGAAACTAACAGCTACAAAAAATAGGATTATGTTGAATTGGGACAATTCATACTTGTTGGAAATCCTAGAAATAATTCAATACTTGTCCAATTTTTTATCTATCTAATCAAAATTTATATCATAAACCCTCAACAAAAACCTTGGATTCTTCTTTCTTTCATCACTCTGTAGTTTCAAATTCAATAGATTTTATGTACAAGTTTTAAAGTCATTATAATTTAATGTCCAAAGCTATCATTTATGAAGAAATAAGATTATTTGTTGGTGGGTATTAGTGGCATCTTTTTGTGGTGGAGAAATTGGACTACCTGTTACAATTTATGAGTCTTTCTACAAGGAAATTCAAACATCATGTCTAAATCTAATAGATTAACATCAATTAATAATTCATATAAGTCATTGTGAAGCCAGAAAGAATTGATGTGGCTAATTGTCCTCGCAGTTTCTCCTTTATATTCTTGTAGCGCCTCTTTCAGCCACTGCTCTTTTAGCGGTTTCTACTAGTGATGTCCAGTGACTTTTATGATTAATTCTACTTAATGGCTCTTCAAAAGTTCCTTCTGCGACAACAATAAGGTGATTGATTTGCAACTCAAAGATTGTCGCTATTAACAATTTTGTTCTCTTAGTGATTATTTCAGCAAGTATAGTGATTACTCCAGTTCAAGTATTCATTTTGTTGCATTATAACGAAATTCAACAGGTTATCCTTTCAAATGTTTGTTTTCTTGTGGAGTATTATGATTTTTTTTATGTTGTAAATAAGAAGTTATTGAATGGTTAATAAAATCAAAATTTTCCAGAAGGAAATATTTCCTTCTACAAATCTGGGGCTTGTTTCTCAGCCCAGCTGTTTCCTTTTTCTTCTATTTTTCCCCCACTATATTTTAGCCTCTTTCATTATTAGTTGAAAGGGAGATTAAGTTTTTCAAATTTATTGTAATCTAGATTTCTTTTTTATTGCATGAAATTTCAATCTTGCGCTGAATTTTGCAATTCATAATTGTATGACCGTTAATTTCTAGCATAAGATCATAAATATTTTTTCATACTTGGAATTCAATGTTGTTTCAAATCTTCTAAAAAGTAATAAAAAATTGCTTATGTTAAGCAATTTTTTGTTTGTTTATTGTATTGTTTTACACATTGCATGTTATAAGAAATTAAAAACCCAAAAAAGTTTCCCATCAATATCAAACATGCTCCCAATCAACAATGCAATCTCACTTCTATCTAGGTACAATGCCAAGCCAATCTAATTCAATGAATTGACAAGCATACTTTTTTTTTGTGGGGGGTAGGGGGGAGGGAGAGAGAGAGAGAGAGAGAGAGAGAGAGAGATAGAGAGAGAGAGAGAGAGAGAGAGGGAGCACTCCTTCGGCAATTGGGCCATAGGTCCTTTCGCAAGCATACTGAAAAAACTAGGTATGCCAACCTTTTGGGGCTACTCTTACCTAGAATAATATACAGGCTTCTTTAGTCACTACTTCGGTTCATGATATCCATTGCCTAAGGAGAAAACGTGCATGGATCTTTCATCTCAGAAATGAAAATTCATCACCTAATCCATCTCTTAAAGAACAAAAATATCAAATTCATCAATCAAATTAACAGTGATGCAATTCAGCCAAGAACAGAAAAACAATTCAATTCAGTGCACTACTGGCATCCTCCTAAAGTTTCCAGGCAACTAGTAAAACATAATCCATAAATTTTGCATGAACATCTACAATGGTAAATTCATGACCTTTTCATGCATTTGCATTCCTTCCACTGAAGATTTAGCAGAATACTCTCCCAGTCAAGCAGTATTAGAGGCATCGTCATTTCAAAAGCCAATGGTAAAGTATGTTTTACATCAAAAACAAGAAAGAAAAAACTAATATATACAAACCTAATGGGTAAATAATTAAATATGCGTGCTACAAGCACCATTAAGAAACAAAATAGAAGCAAACAAAGTAGAAATAAGAACGACTGAAGATGAAAGGTTTCAAATTAATTAAGAAAAATAACGATATTTTTTAGTTGTCAGAGATTAAAATGAGCTGAATGTATTGCGGTTAGAAAGTTTTCCAGAACAGAAGACAATAAAGGAATCAAAAGAGCATACAGGATCAATTATATACTGACACATTTTAAAGAATCAGTCGGACATGTTGCAACATTGTCCAATTTGCAGAATGTGTGACAAGTCCCACCATCAGCTCGAGACCAATGGAAGCAAGCTTTACAAGCCCCCAACTTTGGCCCTGGAAAATGCATGGGAAGTGTCAAATATGTTCACACATGGGATGCCTTAACATAGCCAAATTTATGGATTCAATGAAGCTCGATATAAGTTGATCTGCATACTCAATGTTTGATAAAAGTCCATGAACTAATACAAGCATTTTAGATTGTAAATTAAAGAAATTGATACCAATGGGAAAGCTCAATACATTAGGCAGCAGACAAAGATCTGTGTTTACAATGATAAAAATTGGTCTGAGCAATAAAATGTAAATGAAAACTTATGATCCACATTATACAGAATGTGCAGCGACTTTTCATCACAACATAATAACCTTAATGAGACAAACAGAAGGCGGCACCCTTAAGAAATGAGATTCAAATAATTGACAGTAGCGGTAGTTAATTTTAGCTGGAAAATATCCATACTGCTTAGTAATATAATAAGCTCCAAGTGCACAAGCAAGATGGATACATGCTAGAAGAAACATCAAAGCAAGAAGACTTGATGAGTTAATGGCTTCAATTTTTATTGCACTTAATTTCATGATACAAAAATTTGGCACCTTGATTTCATTTCTTGAGAGTAAAGTTTGAACACTCATTATGCATGTACAGATTGCATCCCGCATAACAAAGGAAGAAGAAAAAAAAGGAGCTTAAAAGGAAGAAGAAAGAAAAATCTGAGTTATCTAACAGAATTATTTATTTGGCCGGAAGCTAGGTTTTTAAGCTCCAATAAATGTTCATCATTTGAAATGTGGAGCATACGGCGAAGGTCTGTCAACAATGCTTCTTGTTCCCAGTTCATGGGCCCAGAAGCATAAAATGCTGATATTGTACAACGATAGGCTTGTAACTCAAGGCTATGGATTCCTTGGTCCAATGCCGCACTCGTTGTGAGAGATTTTTTTCTTCCTAAAATAGCAGAAGCTTCATATAGATCATTATGAGATTTCATATCTTGACCCATGCCATTAAAAGGATCGCACGTTGACCTACAAGGGCTTTTGTTAACACCGCAGCTACCAACAGAGGATGAGATACTCTCAGCATCAGTACCTTGCAGCCTAAATCTATAACAACGTCCGCCATCAGCATTTGATACTAGAACCACTTGATTTGTTTCAAAAGTTGCTGTGTTTCTGTTGATTAAGGAAGAATACAAGCACTTTTCACCAAACTTTGTCCGTGGTGAAGTAACAGCATCAACCTTTTCCAGTGCCGAGTTCCATTCAAAAACACCTTCTTTCTCGACAGCCCTCATCTTTGTGAAAGTTCCAGTACATTTTTCAAGCGATCGTGAGCAATTCCTGGCCCTTTTCTTCACAATCCTAGCAAAAAACTGAGAAGTACCCTGATCATCGATGGGTTGCGGTACGTTAGAAATTAACTTCTCTTTTGATACCCCATTTGTAATTTTATCACAACATTTTGCAGAATACTGAAAGGAAATAGCGAAATACTTAAACCCAATTTCAATAAAAGAATTATTACTAAGGAAAACTATAAATTCAAGTGCATCGTTCTACAGAAATTAACTATAGTTGTACAATGACCACATGTTTACGGCAAAGAAAAACGCAGAGATAGCATATGCACCTTCTATTAATGAATGAAAAACTATTGGTAGAAAAACAGAGAAAGATTCTGTGATATTACCTTTCTAAAAACAAACCATTTGTCATCCTGCCAACATTTTCTTAGCCTAATGCAAGATGAGTGGACAATAAGTTCTGTAGAAGAACCATGGAGTCTAACAGAGAAGTACTCTCCACTGGAAAACATAATTATTTTGGCAACGAACCATGAAAAATTATTAAGGACTTCGACAATATCACCAGGCACCCAATCCAGACGACCCTTTTCTGATTGAGGACGGGGCCTAATGGCCCTTCTTGGTACTCTTTCCATAGAAGAACCAACATCAGGTAGATGGCGATCATATCTAACATAGTAGTTATGTCCATTACCAGAAATGATCTCTGCGCACCACCATGACCCATCAGGATCTTCGCTCTTGTTTAACACTTCAACTTTACTCCCCTTCATGAACCTCATATTTTAACAATATGGGAATCCAATTATACAACCCTGTTACAGAAAAAAAAAAATTCATAAGGAATAAAAATCAAACATAAGTTCGGTTATTAATACATTAAGATCATGAATCGAGAACCCTCCCAAATAATATCTGATATGACCGCAAAAATCCAAATGTAAAACAAATTATAACCCTCAATTAAAAAAAATAAAAAAAATAAAAAAAAATTATAACCCTCAATTAAAAAAAATAAAAAAATTAAAAAAAATTATAACCCTCAATTAAAGAGCTGACATTCAATTTCTTAAGATCATTCATTATATATCAACCAATTGGAATAATATATATCAAAAGTATTGGCTCTACAACATCAGTATCAACCTAAAAACGACAACTAACATTCAATTTCTTAAGACAATTGGAGTAACATAAATCAAAAGTATGGGCTCTGCAACATCAGTATCAATACCCTCGTGAATCTGATTGAAGCGTGTCCTTTCTACTTTCCATCAACTGCAAACCAATAATCATAAATTTGAAACTCTGCCAAAGGATGCAATAATAACCGATTAGATCGTGAACACTCTATCTATGCTTTATCACAATATATCAATCCTCGAATTGTAAGGATTATATCTTCAATTTCGTCATAAATTTTCAAAAGAAGCACATCCATTGCATTGCAGTTGTTCACAACTCTAAAACAACCAAAAAAAAAAACATGAAAGAAATAGTTAAATGAACCAAAACGATCAACCGCGAAAAATTACAGATTGTAAACAAAAATGATAAGTTAAACGATGGATCGAAATCTTCTTATGCTTAAAAAATAACTAAGTTTTATTAATCGAAATGCCAGTAAAAGTAATTACTCACGGTTAGATTACAACGACCACGAGCAATCTATAAAGATCAGGTCCAAATAGAATTCAGCTTTCCTTCCTCTCTCTCGCTCTCTCTCTTTCTCACTTGGTCTCTCTCCCTCCCTCCCTTGTAACGCCTTCACGCTTCTTTTCTCCTCTGCTTTGAACAGTATATTTTCTCTGCTATGATGTCCAAATTGCTGCCGATGATATTCAGATTTATAAGTCGAGGAAAAATATGGAAAATGGATTCGAAAATCTTTATTAAATGTTGCTTGCAGCTTGTATTTGGAGTCCGGCTTCAACACCGAACTCCTATTTATCCGACTCGGTCTAGGTCGGTCGATCTGTTCAAACCGCGCCGCAACTGAAGCCACGCTACTCGGAAACAAATAGAAGACGTAAATGTCATGAGCTGATAGTTCAGAGAAGGGCTTTGCTTATGCTCTGATCATCAGATACGGGATAGTGATTCATGTGAAATAATGCATCTCTACGGTATTATTTACTTAAAAATTTTGATCATTATTGCTCTTATTATATTAAATAAATAATTCATAAAAATTATATATATATATATATATATATATTCAGATACGGGATAGTGATTCACATGAAATAATGCATCTCTACGGTATTATTTACTTAAAAATTTTGATCATTATTGCTCTTATTATATTATATAAATAATTCATAAAAATTATATATATATATGATCAATTTAATCTGAGGGCATCACATTGCTCTAATTTAATCTCTTGATTATATAAAATTGACCCAAACTATTACTTTATGTTGTAATTGTGATATCAACTTAATCCGAATTTAGCCCCTGGATTTTACAAAATTGATTCCAATTATTTTCACAAAGACTATTTTGTACTAATTTTATATAATCGATGGACTAAATTAGAACAATATTTTACTCTGAGATTAAAATAGGCATATACAAATAGTTACTTACGTTTAAAAAAAAATAGATGATATAATAAGTAAATGCGTTGGAATAGTGCAAAGAAAGCAAATTCACATTATGGATCACAGTATGTTGGTGATAAGCGAATGATTGTGGTTCGTTGGTCACTTCTGGAAGGACTATTTTAGTGAGTCAAGGAGAAACAGGGAAAGGACAATATGTATAAGGCTTCGTTTGGGACTAGCTTTCTTACTGCTTCTTAAAACAGTTTTCTAGTAAAAAATGAATTTTTTATAATAAAAAATTATTTTAAGAAGCAGTAATAAAGTTGTCTCAAATAAAATCTAAATAGAAAAGTATAAGTGAGTTGTATTTTTTCATTACTTTTTTAGGAGATTATTTCTTGTTTTTGTGGGTTGTTTTGTGATTATAGATCAAAACTAACTCTTCCCTAACTTGGCAAGTGTTCCAAAACAGCTCATGAGATGGTTTTACAGCATCTTAGGCAAGTCTTAACAACTAGCAAGAATTTAGATGAGCCAAGTTGTTATTCACACCTCATCCACCCATTGTTATCCTCCATCATGTGGTGGTCTTTGAGCCACGCAGGTACTTGGTTTGCACGTCGGGGTACAAAGTGTTTGAAAATTACATCAACAGGTCTTCACATAAATTTTATTAAGATGAGCTTAAAATATAATGTATTTTGTGTTAAGATCAGTACACCCTTTGATAAAGTTGATTGTAGAGCTTTTCCGGAAAAAAAAATTTAAATATTTCATTGTAAAAAATATTTTTTTTATTAAAAAACGGATCTCATTCGGATTCCCACGCTTGCTCTAAATCGATAGCAAAGCTTGGGATGATCGAAACTAAGAAAATGAAGAGTTAGTGAAAAGTACCATTCTCTGGAAAGTGTTGAGCATATTTGTTAGACTTCTTTCATCTACTATACGGAAGAGAAGGCACGGGCTTTGAAGGAATTGAAGTCGAAGGCGGATCAAGGTAGCTTGCTGCCACGAAGAATGGAGCATACAAAGTTTATTATGCATCTGTCATGAGACCCATTGGTCCTAAGCAATGTCTTTCGCGAAGCGACCCACATAGAATCTCCTTTTAGGGAGGCACTAACATGGAATTTCGATTTGATGCGGGTATCCAATCTCGTTGTTGAGATGTTCAATGGATTTCGGGACCTTGACGAATGGCCGGCCACCATTGTTGTTAGAAGAGCAAAAGGCTCCCTTGACCTGTTTTTTTCCCTATATCTAGGTCAAAGAGTTGACCTGATCAAATTTAACCAGGCTAGACCCCAAGACCCTTCCCAATTGGTTTAGGGAGTCAAGTCAAGTCTGCTGAGCCCAGACCCAAGTCATGGTTCAACATGGTTGACCCAAATTGACCCAAACTCCTTTTAATTAATTTCAAATCCAATTCAGGGCTTCTTGGCTCAGTCTCTCACCTCCCTTGTCCCATGGATCAGACCAAGTCTCTTAAGCACAGATCCATGCCCTGAGTCAACTTTGTTGATCAGGTCAACCCAAGTTGATTCCTTTGGCCCCTTTGAGCCCAAATCCATTCAAATCTTTCCATGGCTCAATCCCCCACTCCCTTGGACCCATTTGACTAGGTTGACCAGGTCAACACTTGAACTGGTCAACCTAAGTCTTAAATAGGTCAAATCAACCCATTTAAGCCCAATTAAAGCTCATTTAACACCCTGATTGATTCCCTTTGCTCAAAAATTCAAAACCACAGCCAGATCCCCTCCTTTTCCCTCCTAATTAACCCCAAATTCAATCTTGGCCGTTGGTTGTAACCCTAGGGCTATAAATAGGGAAAAATTAGGTTTTCTTAGGACTTTTTTTGCTCTCTCTCTCTCTAGACATTCTAAGGCTCTAAGATTTTGCATGAGCACCCCCACTACTTCTCTCCACATTTCCCAAGCAAATCCCGTGGCCAAGACCTCGTCGGTGGCAAGATCTCCGGCCAACCGAAGGTATTTTCCTTCCAAGACGAATTTCGACCGATCCAAGACGAATCAGAGCTCGAGTTCAACTATAGAAGGATTCGTGGACAGTCTACAAGTGTAACAAGCCCAAGATCGACTGAATCCACCGTGTGGATCGCTAACCCTAGTTAGAAACACCTAGATCTAATTAGCGTTCACAATATCACGTTTTAGAACACGATTTTTGTTCCCCATGAATGCTCTTCGGGTATAGAGCCTCTGTTAAAATTTCGTTCAATTTCATCCATCCGATCGAGAGAAAATTCAAAAATATTGTTTTAGCTTCGATTTGTGTTGTCTACGATTGGAGCCATTGATCTCGTGATCAACGGCTATGATTTCGCCATTCCGCGGCTCACATCCGGCCGTGGACTCGATCCCGTGGTCACCATCATCGTATGGCTCGATCTGGAGCATCCATTCGACAACACAGAAGAACCGACGGTCCCCATTCGCTGCCAACGTGGATTAGTGGGAACCGTCCGCAGGCCCGATGATGAAGCAATGATTGTCGGCGGCGCAATCATTGCCAATCAACGCGCCGCCGGCAATGATTGCCTTGCATTTTCGAAACGAGTTAGATGCCGCCGCGTGTCCCATTGAAAGTCGCCGCCGTTTTTATTAATTAAAAAAATTGATTTTAAATTAGTTTTTAATCTGATTTCTTTGAATAATCATTATAAATTATTTTTAAATCCAAAAAATATGTATAATATGCCAAATTGCTAGTACTTTTGTCCTCTTCCATTTAAAATTTAAATTATTTTAAAATAATATGTATATTTAAAATTATTTTATTTTTAATTGATTATTTTTTTTTAATATTTTAATTAAATCATTATTATAGTTTAAATTATTTTAAAAATTTCAGAAGCTTTATTATTTTAATTTAATTTTAGTTAATAATTTTTTCAAATACAAATTATTTGAAAATTACTTTTAATCATTTTAAATTTCATAAATTTGTATCTTTTCCGTTTTAAATTCATTTTTGATGCATAATACCTCGTTATTTTCAGAAAAAATGTGTATTTCTCTTTAAAAACAATTTCACTTATCAAAACTTTTTTTCTGCAATATTTTCTGAATTATTTATTTAGTTGATATCACTACTGTTATATCAATAAATCCCTAGTACAACATATGTACAGTGCTAGTGAAAGTTCATGAACAAATATAAGTGTTTTAGATTGTAAATTAAAGAAATTGATACCAATGGGAAAGCTCAATACATTAGGAAGCAGATAAATATCTGTGTTTACAATGATAAACATTGGTCTGAGCACTAAAGGTTTTGTTTGGGACAGCTTTCGTAATGCTTTTTTAAAACGGGATCTCAGTAAAAAAAAAATAAAATTTATGAAATTTTTGCACTAAAAATTTATTTTAGAAAACAAGAAAAAAATCATCCCAAATGAAGCCAAAATGTATATGATAACTTATGATCCACATTATACAGAATATGCAGCGACTTTCCATCACAACATAACAACCTTAATGAGACAAACAGAAGGCGGCACACTTGAGACATGAGATTCAAATAATTGACAGTAGCGGTACTTAATTTTAGCTGGAAAATATCCATACTGCTTAGACATATTATAAGCTCCAAGTGCACAAATAAGATGGATGCTTGCTAGAAGAAACATCAAGGTAAGAAGACTTGATGAGTAAATGGCTTCAATTTTTATTGCACTTAATTTCATGATACAAAAATTTGGCACCTTGATTTCTTTTCTTGAGAGTAAAGTTTGAACACTCATCATGCATGTACAGATTGTATCCCACATAACAAATGAAAAGAAAAAAGAGAACTCAAAAGGAAGAAGAAAGAAAAATCTGGAGTTATCTAAAAGAATTATTTATTTGGCCAGAAACTAGGTTTTTAAGCTCCATTAAATGTTCATCAATTGAAATGTGGAGCATACGGCGAAGGTCTGTCAGCAATGCTTCTTGTTCCCAGTTCATGGGCCCAGAAGCATAAAATGCTGATATTGTACAACGATAGGCATGTAACTCAAGGCTATGGATTCCTTGGTTCAATGCCGCACTCGTTGTAAGAGATTTTTTTCTTCCTAAAATAGCAGAAGCTTCTGATAGATCACAGTGAGATTTCATATCTTGACCCATGCCATTAAAAGGAACGCACGTTGACCTACAAGGGCTTTTGTTAACACCGCAGCTACCAACAGAGGATGAGATACTCTCAGCATCAGTACCATCCAGCCTAAATCTATAACAACGTCCGCCATCAGCATTTGATACTCGAACCACTTGATTTGTTTCAAAAGTTGCCGTGTTTCTGTTGATTAAGGAAGAATACAAGCACTTTACACCAAACTTTGTCCATGGTGAAGTAACAGCATCTACCTTTTCCCGTGCCGAGTTCCATTCAAAAACACCTTCTTTCTCGACAGCCCTCATCTTTCTGAAAGTTCCAGTACATTTTTCAAGCGATTGTGAGCAATTCCTGACCCTTTTATTCACACTCCTCGCAGAAAACTGAGAAGTACCCTGATCATCGATGGGTTGCGGTATGTTAGAAATTAACTTCTCTTTTGATACCCCATTTGTAATTTTATTCCAACATTTTGCAGAATTCTGAAAGGAAATAGCGAAATACTTAGACCCAATTTCAATAAAAGAATTATTACTAAGAAAAACTGTAAATTCAAGTGCATCATTCTCCAGAAATGAACTATAGTTGTACAATGACCACATGTTTACGGCAAAGAAAAACGCAGAGATAGCATATGCGCCTTCTATTAATGAATGAAAAACTATTGGTAGAAAAACAGAGAAAGATTCTGTGATATTACCTTTCTAAAAACAAACCATTTGTCATCCTGCCAACATTTTCTTAGCCTAATGCAAGATGAGTGGACAATAAGTTCTGTAGAAGAACCATGGAGTCTAACAGAGAAGTACTCTCCACCAGAAAACATAATTATTTTGGCAACGATCCATGAAAAATTATTAAGTACTTCGACAATATCACCAGGCACCCAATCCAGACGACCCTTTTCTGATTGAGGACGGGGCCTAATGGCCCTTCTTGGTACTCTTTCCATAGAAGAACCAACATCAGATAGATGGCGATCATATCTAACATAGTAGTTATGTCCATTACCAGAAATGATCTCTGCGCACCACCATGACCCATCAGGATCTTCGCTCTTGTTTAAAACTTCAACTTTACTCCCCTTCTTTAACCTCATATTTTCACAATACGGGAACCCAATTATACAACCCTGTTACAGAAAAAAAAAATCATGAGGAATAAAAATCAAACATAAGTTCGATTATCAAAACATTAAGATCATGAATCGAGAACCCTCCCAACTAATATCTGATAAGACCGCAAAAATCCAAATGTAAAACAACTTATAACCCTCAATTAAACACCTGACATTCAATTTCTTAAGATCATTCAATATATATCAACCAATTGGAATAATATATATCAAAAGTATTGGCTCTACAACATCAGTATCAACCTAAAAACGACAACTAACATTCAATTTCTTAAGACCATTCATTATATATTAATCAATTGGAGTAACATAAATCAAAAGTATGGGCTCTGCAACATCAGTATCAAAACCCTCGCGCATCTGATTGAAGCATATCCTTTCTACTTTCCATCAACTGCAAACCAATAATCACAAATTCGAAACTCCGCCAAAGGATGCAATAATAACCGATTAGATCGTGAACACGCTATCTATGCTTTATCACAATATATCAACCCTCGAATTGTATGGATTATATCTTCAATTTCGTCATAAAATTTCAAAAGAAGCACATCCATTGCATTGCAGTTCTTCACATCGCTAAAACAGAAAAAGAGCATGAAAGAAATAGTTAAATGAACCAAAACGATCAACCGCGAAAAATTACAGATTGTAAACAAAAATGATAAGCTAAACGATGGATCGAAATCTTCTTATGCTTAAAAAATAACTAAGTTTTATTAATCGAAATGCCAGTAAAAGTAATTACTCACGGTTAGATTACAACGACCACGAGCAATTTAGAAAGATCAAGTCCAAATAGAATTCAGCTTTCCTTCCTCTCTCTCTCTCTCTTTCTCACTTGGTCTCTCTCCCTCTCTCCCTCCCTCCCTTGTAACGCCTTCACGCTTCTTTTCTCCTCTGCTTTGAACAATATATTTTATCTGCTATGATGTCCAAATTGCTGCCGATGATATTCATAATTATAAGTCCAGGAAAAATATGGAAAATGGATTTGAAAATCTTTATTAAATGTTGCTTGCAGCTTGTATTTGGAGTCCGACTTCAACACCGGACTCCTATTCATCCGACTCGGTCTAATGTCGGTCGATCTGTTTGAACCGCCCGCAACTGAAGCCACACTACTCGGAAGCAAATAGAAGGCGTAAATGTAATGAGCTGATATTTCAGAGAAGGGCTTTGCTTATGGTCTGATCATCAGATACCGGATAGTGATTCACGTGAAATAATGCATCTCTACGGTACTATTTAAATAAAAAATTTATCATTATTGCTCTTTTTATATTATATAAATAATTCATAAAAATTTTAAAATAAATGATTAATTTAATCTCAGAGCATCACATTGTCTTAATTTAATCCCTTGATTATATAAAATTGATCCAAACTAATATCTTATGTTGTAATTGTGATATAAACTTAATCCCAATTTAGTGCTTCGACTTTACAAAATTGATTTCAAATTTAGTTTCAAAGAAACTATTTTGTATCAATTTATATAGTCGAGAGACTAAATTAGAGCAATATTATACTTTGAGATTAAAATAGGCATATACAAATAGTTACTTTCGTTTGATAAAAAAGATGATGTAATTAGTAAATACGTTGGAATTTTGCAGAGAAAGTAAATTCAAATTATGAATCACAATATGTTGGTGATAAGCGGAGGATTGTAGTTCATTGGTCACTTCGAGGACTATTTTAGTGAGTCCTTAGAAACACGAGAAGAACAATATGTATAAGACTTCGTTTAGGACTGCTTTTTTATTGATTCTTAAAATAATTTTCTAATAAAAAATAAATTAAAGTTATTTTAAGAAGCAGTAAGAAAGTTATCCTAAATAAAATCTAAATAGAAAAAATATAATTGAGTTGTACTTTTTCATTACTTTTTTAGGAGATTATTTCTTGCTATAGTGAGGTTGATTTGTGATTACAGATCAAAACTAACTCTTCCTAACTTGGCAAGTGTTCCAAAACAGCTCATGCGATGGTTTTACAGCATCTTAGGCAAGTCTTAACAACTAGCAAGAATTTAGGTGCGCCAAGTTGTTATTCACACCTCATCCACCCATTGTTATCCTCCATCATGTGATGGTCTTTGAGCCACGCCAGGTACTTGGTGTGCACGCCGAGGTACAAAGTGTTTGAAAATTACATGTTTCACATAAATTGCATTAAGATGAGCTTAAAATATAATGTATTTTTGCTAAGATCTGGAAAAAATAATTTAACTATTTCATTGTAAAAAATATTTTTTTTTATCAAAAAATAGATCTCATCCAGATTCCCACGCTTGCTCTTGATCGATAGCAAAGCTTGGGATGATCGAAACTAAGAAAATGAAAAGTTGAATAGTGAAAAGTACCATTCTCTGGAAACTGTTGAGCATATTTGCTAGACTTCTTTCATCTATTGTACGGAAGAGAAGGCACATGCTTTGAAGGAATTGAAGCCGAAGGCGGATCAATGTAGCTTGCCTGCCACGAAGAATGGAGCATGCAAAGTTAATCGTGCACCTGTCGTGAGACCCATTAGTCCTAAGCAATGTCTTTCGTGAAGCGACCAACCTAGAATCTCCTTTTATGGAAGCATTAATATGGAACTTCGATCTGATGCAGGTATCCAATCCCGTCATTGAGATGTCCATCGGATTCCGGGGCCTTGATGAATGGCCGGCCACCATTGTTGTTAGAAGAGCAAAAGGCTCAAGGCATAGCAGGATGAACCAATGTGAATGAGTGTCAACTTCATTGCCTGAGCACGATTGGTGCTCGCCATATTAGGTGCTACCGTAGTAGCAAGAGAGGCCAAGCGGTGACAATTGAGAGGTTGTCACTGAGTACTCCGTCTCACATGAGAAGAGATGTCAAATGGCAAGGCAAACATACACCCGTGTTGCTCCTTGCGTATTATAGTATGAAAAGTAATGAAAAAATAGTAGCAAAGTAAAATTATGAGTGATATTTGACAAGCCAAACAAAAAAAAGGGCTATCCCAACCAAATCTTAAGTTTATAAATATTGATATGAAGTCTCATAAGAGCTAATTATTTGATAAAACATTATTGCAACATGATAAGAGTTAATAGCATAAATAAATTGAATAAATTATGAATTATAATATAATATTATAATCATAACTAGCACAAAATTAGTTAATCAATTAATACAACAGAAAGGCTAAAATCCCTATAAAAAAAATTCTAAGAAGCTACCAAAAATATTGTTCTAAATTTAATTTTATTTTTTGTTCATATAATTGGACTTTTTTCTCACGCCAATTACATCAAACACTTCAGAACAACTACAAATCAAGAAAGCAGAAAAACGTAGCAGAAATCAACACAAAATGAAGCCTAAATAACAATGCATATGGCTATTCATCTCAAAAGCCAATATTATTTGGACATCCTTTTTTTCTGCTTCATATTTTGAATACCATCATAATCATCTTCTTCAAGTTTCCTTCTCAGGCTATTCAGTTTTTCTTCAGCATCTGCAGTTTCACCAGAAAGGTTTAGTGCATAAGCTGCTCCAATTTGCCTCTTGCATTCCTTGCTCGCCAAGTCATGAGGAACCACTAATTAAAACCTCAAAATATTAGCTATTAAAAGGTGAGGTAGAAGTTGAAGATGAATTCCAATAACCAAAATTCAACTTGAAAAGTACCAGGTTTTGGGTAATCTCTGCCAATAATGCAATTTGCTTGCCTTTGTATGCTCAATGGAGCAGTCCAAGGCTCATATATGTATTCTTTGGGCATATCTGCAACATATTTTAACTTGAGAGGTGAGTTTCTTAGAGCATCTCCAATGGAACAGTAAACAACTGTTTGCCGTTCTTCCGTCGTTCCAACCGAGCGGCAATTCTTACGCAATTTCATCACGGATGAACAGTGCCACGCCAATATTGGTGTTGCACTGTTCATCTCTGCCATTTTTTGGTCTCTACCGGACTTGCCAAAGAACACGCAAAAGAAGAGAACAACCGTTACGGGGCAAAATGGCGTTCGATTGGAGATGAATCATGATATTTTTTAGTTTCACGGCATTTTGAAGTGAAAAATGAGATTTTCTGTTGGAGATGCCCTTAATGAACAAATGACTATAGCCAAAATGGAGAATGGGAAGTGCTACCTTTCAACACTGGGAGAAAATGTCTGATGAAGTTTCCTGAAGGATCATATTTCTTCCCAAAAGATATGGGAGAGTAGATGCGGTGATACTGTCAATGAGCATAAGAGATTACTATTTAAGAGTTTCTTTTTTTCTTTTTTGGGTATATATAATAACAAAATGCTGGAGAAGGCTAACCTGGTAAAAAAATGATGAACAAGAAAGCCATAGCCAATTGCCATTATTTATAGCCCAATCAGAATCTATAAGTAGTCTCTCAAAGACATCACGTCCTTTCTCCCAGTGAATAAACTAGCAGGATAAGGATATTGTTCATGTATCATTCATCTCAGGCCTATATATAGTCAATGTAAAGAGAACGAGGTGCATAGAAAAAGATGAACTAGCAGCGTTATCAAGAGAAAGAGATGCTTGAAAAAAATTTGTTTTATCAGATTGATTGGAAGAGGCATAAGAAACTTGCCGGATAAAATTAGCCTTCTAAGAAATTTGAATGGGAAGATAATAATGTCATGGTATTTTTTAACAAGAGCAATATCCGTATTACCTTTGCTAAGCAATTTGTTTTATAAGAGAAAATTTGCAACACGAATACTTCAATCCCTTAAATCTCCTACTCACAAAATCTCAAACAAATAGTCACTACAGGAAAAACGTGTTTTACCAGCGGCAAATGGTCATTTTTCATCGGTTTTATAAATTTTCGGCGACTTTCCGGGGGCAAATTTTCCGGAAAGCCGTTGAAAAATAGTCCGCCGGCAAGCTGCCGGAAAAATCAGCCGGTAATTGACAATTTTCCTGTGGTGAGTGAACCAAACCATAAAAAATATTTTAAACACAACGACTCGGAATTTTTCTCTGAAGTAAAGCTGAATTCGACTAAAACTATATTTAAAAGAGGAGAATTCATAATAGGATTCCACACAAAAAAAGGCAAAATAAACAAAATTAGCTTTGCCGGGTTCAAATATTAAAATTTCAGACAAAAAAACATGGAAAACAACCATAACCATTAGGGTGCAGGTTCATACTAGATCACCCCGAGTCAAAAAGCATGCAACTGAATGGCGGGCTAAATGGTGCATCCATCCCCACTTCTTCAGCTACAATAGTGGGAAAAAAAAAGGTTTAGAATGGTATAGATAACAAAACTTTAGATAATGCAAGTAAAGTTGCATTCCCAAGTCAAACAATCATGCTATCATATTATGCCAAAATGGATTGACGATATGAATAAACCTGAATCATGATAGCATCAATCCATGGATAGCCTGTCTGAGCATCTCTCCAAGCTACAAAAAGCTTTTCATCATCTCTCCATGGAATCTGCAAAATTAAAAAATAGATGTTTGAACGAGAATTTCAACAAACAAGTTTAGATGTGGCTATTAATGTGTACCTGTTTGCATATTTTGTTTCCCTGCATTCTATCAAAATTAGGAGTACCAAAAGCCACAGTATAGAAAAAGTCACGCCACAATAACTGTCAATAGGTTAGATTTTCTTTAGTATATAAAAACTTTCCAGCGGAAAAGATACATGAGAATATGAGATCTGACCTGTCCAGCAAGCGAAACTGGAGGCTGTGTGTGCTTTTTAACTGTCTTATAAGCATCATCAACACACTGAAAAAAATATCTCGAAGAAAGACATCCAAACTACAAAAATCCAAAAGGTGGTCAAAGGAAACCAAAAGGTTTTTGAGCGAGAATCTAAGAGCAAAAAGAGAAGGGATGAGTAACGTAGAAAATCATGGTGATATAGAATTACTTTTAAGTATGGAGAAAGTACAGTTGTTGCTGGCTTTATAAATTCAGAAGGGTCACCCTTTGGTTTTTCAAATTCTGCCACCCATTTCTGCAAGATTCAGGGGAATTAATTACTAATTAGATGATAAAGAAAACCAAGGTTAACAAAGAATTACTCAAACGTTAACTCATCAAAATCTTCTAGTTATTATCAGCAGGGTCATAACTAATTCCCGACTCTCAATAAATTTAAGTAGCTTTCCAAAATGCTATTAGACTATAATAAAATGGAAAATTCTATCTGCTATACATAGTTATAGCAACAAGCTTTAGGAGTGAAAAGCCCAAGATTTGGGTGAAATAGGAAAACATGAAAACTAGTAACAAGTATAACGATATATAGGCAGAAGAGTTAACATCATAACGAAAAACCAATTGCCCAATTTCCTAGATGAAAGAAATTGTTTAAGTTGCAAGAAAGCCATATTTTGGTTAAATGCCTTCAAGAAACTACATCTATAAATTCATATGTTAGTACTTTTCAAGAAATTATAAGAGAAAAGAAAATTATTAAATTTCTCAAACATGCACTGATTATATATATAATCAAGGAAAAATTCATTTAGAAACCTTAAGAAGTATCCACTCCACAATGATATACACCGAAGTTACTGAATCATTAAGGTTTTCAGACAAAATTATAAATTCTCTGTGGATGCGATTTGCCTAGATGGAAATGATATTAAGGAAAAACATGAAAATTAAATAGAATGATTAGAGGGGGAAAATATCAGAAGATGAAGTTGTATGGCTATTATAATTTCTCTGTGGATGCCCTTCATGAGGAAACTGAACGGCATGGCTCTTCAACCTTGCAGCTCAAATGTATATTACTGACCACGTTGATGCTAATTAGAAGTAACAAAGGATATGCTCAGTTGTTCAGCAAGGTTAAGCTTCTATTTAAGACTAAAAACATACATATATAACCGTTAATGAGGGTAAATTTAACAGAATAGCCCTAGAAATTGATGGAATGCAATATAACAGTTCAAAATTCTACACCAGATGTCTACCGATTGCTCAGCACCTTCCACGAAGTCTCTCACGTCATCATGATCATCATTAAGCTTATTGTACTGATTTGGTGTCAGCTTTAAGCATCCTTACCATTCATTCTTGTGCAGTATTGCATATGTGCTAACATTAGGCTATTTGAACTTTCATAACACCTTCTAGCAGTTAGCTTCAGGCTTCGTTTGGGATGGCTTTCTTACAGCTTTTTGAAATAGCTTTCTAGTACAAAATTTTAATTTTTTATACTAAAAATTGTTTTAAGAAGCAGTAAGAAAACCATCCCAAACGAAGCCTTAGTCTAAGCATTTCTTCCTTTTAGTTTGAAATAAGTTGTATCTATCTACTTTATTGGCACATCATTTGCTCTCAATTACACATTAGAATACTTAAAATTGGCACCACTTCAGCACTTATGTGGATCTAGAAAAGTTGTCTCGTTATCCTAACTATTTAGACAGGCTTAATCCAAACACTTGTCTACAACTCACAAGTGTAATCAACTCACAAGTGTAATCTTATATTTGAAGTCAAATGTAGAATTAAAGGTTAGTAAATACAACTTTTACTAGGCACCATCCATATGATCGTTCTCATACCTTATTAACCAAATTTTCCTTCAACCTCTTAAGTGCCTCTGTCTCACCACCCCGGAAGGGAGAAAACTCCTACACTTATGATAGAAAACACCACTATCAACAGAGTCCAAATAAACAGTAGACTTAGACTAGTTAAATAGAAGCTGACATGACCTGTTTAACATCTTTATAACCAAGGTCATGAATGGATGGAACTCCAAGAATTTCGTACCCTGCAATATCGCCAATAGGAGGAAGCTTGGAGTACATCGACCGTAGAGGGGCTGATGGTTTACCAGCAATAGCTACAAATGACTTATATGTCAATGGCGCCTTTCCACCATTCTATTTTGTGTAACCATGGATTAGTCAAAAAATGAAAATAGTTTACCAGCATAAGAAAGATTAATAAGAGTGATCTCAAAAATTTTGAACTCCTACAATCTGAGAGAATAATGAAACTACCTTCCGAATGACTTCCGCGGGGTCAAAGAGTGTATGACTGACTGGAGAAAAAACTTCGATTCCAGATGCGGAAGCTATATCCTAGCAAAACCAGTATCAGATACTGATTCACGAACAAACGAACTATAAAACAATAACATCTTTCCCAAAATTGCATGGGAAAATAACTCCCCGGTTTGCCTCAGTTTTCTTATTTTAGAATCAATACAACAATGCAAGCCAGAAAGAAAAGAGAAAAGTAATGTCACCTTCACTTTATTATCTCTAGTCTGGGCGTACGGCTCCGTGTCAAATTCAAAAAATAGTTTTCCTATATTCCACTAAAATAAGAGAAGAGAGTCACTTCCAAAGTTCGATCGTAAAAATAGAATAAAGACTGAGATTGGACTAGAAGTCGAGGTACTCACGTCCTTAAGGAGCCTGGCTATAACCTGTACCGGCTCTCCTTTAAGCACAAGGAGGCGGGATTCAAGCCTCCTGAGTCCACAATCGAGATCGACAAGGCTTTCTAGCAGGAACTGAATCCGATTAATGCCGGCCCTAGAGGATCCCGGGGAGGAAGCCAAGCTGTCCGGATCGATGTAATACGGATCGAGCACGAAAACAGGAAATAGATGCTTCGAGCCCTTCTGCGCAAGCTCTAATGCCGGATTATCGTGAATCCGCAGGCCTTTTCGGAACCAGATCATACAATTCGACGACGAAGACGACTCCATGGAAGCAAGAGGCCGAGAAGGACGTCGAAAACCTCCAAAATTTAGCTTACGGAGGAGAGAAATCCCACTTGGAGTAGAGTGGAATCGAACTGGCGACGCCGTTCTAGCTATGAATGACTAACTACTTCATCTTCTGCTCTGCTTCTCCCTTGATAGTTAACTGAGAACTTTTCCCGCCGTAAGACGAGAGGCTGTAGTTTCTTTCCACGCTGGTGAAGTACAAACGGTCGGATGCGGATCGAACGGCCATTATTTGAAGACATACACAAGCAATAACATCGGCTCTGCAGACTCCACGTAGCTGTTTATTTGCACATGGCTGTGATACTAAGAACTTTTATTTGGTCCGGTCACACGAAGTAGCTCTACGTTCGGCCGCCAGTAGAATCGCGCCACGCGTTCTCATTATTTACCGTGCGCCCCGACAACCCGACCCGAAACAGACCCAGGATGGCTCGGTATTTCTCGATTTTGCTAGGTATTGCTCGGTATTGCTCGGTATTGGTCAATTTTGCTCGGCAATAACCAATACCGAGCAATACCGAGTTGTACCGAGTTTTTCTAGAAAAACTCGGTATTGCTCGGTATTGCTCGGTATTGGTCTTCACGTAGCGGTATTTCTCGTTATTGTCAAGCAATACCTAGCAATACCGATCAAATACCGAGTAATACCTCGCAATACGCGAACATAGCATTCATGAGTTCCGGTCCGGGTCAAATCGTCGGGCCGCACGGTAAAGAGTAAGAGCACATGGCGACATGTTATTGGCGGCCGAACGTACCTCTGTGTCCGATCAGATGACGTAATAATTGTTCGTGATACTAAGCAAGTTAGCATTAAAAGTGGCTCTTATTAACTATAAAGGATTTAATTTTAATAAAGATAAGTATTTTCAAAAAGTAAGGTTCTTGAATGAATGTATTTATTTCAAAGATTTAGACTTCGTATAGAAAAAATTTATTATTATTTTTAAATCTATTTTTAATAAAAAATTTATTTTAAAAAATTTTGTATACTAAAAAATTATTTTAGAATGTAGCAAGAAAACTGCCTCAAATGAAGCCTTAAGTACAAGTTGTCAATGCTACTCAATTTAACCTCTACTCGATAATAAGATCATATGAAGCTGCAAGGGCTATTTGTCCGGCTCATGAAGTGAATTCATCAAAGAGATAAGGCTACTCATCAATTCAAAATGAAGTCATTGAAAACTTCATTTGAACTAACCATTTATAGGACTACAACTTCACTTAAAACTTGTTCATTCTTTATACGAGCTATGTTTTAAGCTTAGTTATGTAATTTTACTTATATTTCTCAATTGTAACATTACTCGTAATATTTTGTCTCGACTCAAACATATAAATTAGATGTCATAAGGTGAGTCTAATATGTCACGTCACCTGCTTTAGTTTTATACTTCATAATTGAAGAAGATCTTGAACCTTCTGTTGCTTTCTTGAGCGGCTGGCGAGTTAGAACCGAGAAGCGAAGAAGACAGAGAGGTGATAGAGAAAGGAGAAACAGAACATGATGAAAGTAAGAAATGAATATTATTTCCCTTGCCTTCATAGTACAAACCTATTGTATATATAGACTTTAAGTCTATGGTAAAGAAGTAAATACACAATATTCTGCTAAAGAAAGTACAGTACGGAAAGTATAATAACTAATTTCATATTAATACATTTAATCATTTTGGTTCTCTAATAATAATAACTTAGGGGGAAATGACCTAATTGAGCCAAATAGATCATTGGGGTTGCCCAATTATACACATTAACCCAAACCCGAGTTAGCTTAAACAGGCCTAGCTGACCTAATTGGACTAAAACTTTCAAATTAGGCAAATCAATCAAACCTTAGGTCTTAAACTAATTTCAATATGTCAACCATACATAACTCAACTCTAATTGGGCCTTCATTTAGCCATTTGGCTCACTTAGTGCATGTTGACCCCTTTGCACCCCTCTAGCCATGTTGATCAATTTGACCAAATCAACCCAATCCAACCCTTTAGAACCCATTCCAATTGACCAATCATTATTAATTTGACTCAAATTAACCCTTAATTGAGCTCAATTTTACTAATGGATCAAATTAACCTAAGTTAATTCACTCAAACCTTTAAAATGACTTTAACCAAACCTTTCATATGACCTAAGTGGATTCAACATGCAACAAACCAATCCAAATGACCCTTGGTTGGGCTAATTGAGCCCAATTTAACCCTTAAAGACACTACTTAGCTATCGTATGCTAATTATCTCAAACTGATCAAAATAATTTTGCCAAACATCTTGGATGATTCACAAAACTCATATTGATCCAAATCAACAATTGATTTCACTCATTTAGCCTAATTGATCTATTTGACCCAAGATAAAACTACATGTAGCCCATTTAGGTCAATTGAGTTGAATTGACCAAATTCGCTAAATGGACCAACATCAACCCTTTTATGGGATGCCTGTTAAAGATTTAAGGCAAAAGCTCAGCTAGATGACATCAATAATTATGAGAAAATAAATGTTAAGGCAAGTGACAACCTATTGGGTTTGAGTAAGTTGAAATATTTAACTATTAATGTCTCATCTTACAATCAAATGGCCTTATCCACGAACATATCAAGCATCTTCTTCATCTAAGAAGAACTCATTTAAATATGCAGTGACTCCTCTTGTATGCAACTGGCCATAAATTACATCAAATCTAGCACCTATGTTTCCTTTAGCAAAACCTAAGATGAATCTTCCATCAATTCATATTTGAGTTGACACTACCTAACATATTTAACTACATAGATCGAACATCCAAATCTCTAAACTTAAAGTTGACATGCTAATGACTATGACATATCACACAAAACAAGGTATTACTCATCACGTAGCATATAAGGTCCTTTTAGTAGAACCATATCTCCAACACCCCCCCCCCCCCCCCAGCCTTGTGTTTTCCCCGACATTTGGCTTCTAAATAATAATACAACTTTTTATAATCCTCATCTCCTTCTCTTTGCATATGCAGATTAAGAATAATATTCAAGTGTTGATTCAAAAGTAGAGCTAGTATGCAACTCTCGTTGGTCTTTTGGTTCGGACTTTTGGCTACCAACTAAAAGGTCATGGGTACAAGTCTTTTGTATGTGATGTGTAAAAGATTGTTTTAATTGGCCTAAATATGTTAAAAAAAAGTTGAGCTAGCCATATTTATAAAAAAAACTAAAAATTATGTGTAAATCATTGACTAAATGTTTATTTCTCTTTATGATTATTTGTTCATAAAGAAGTGTGGAAAAACTATTGGACATGATGATATTCCAATAGATATATGAAAATGCTTAAGAGAAGAAGGCATTTATTGGATAACTACACTTTTGTTGGGCTCCAAAAATTTGTGCCATGGCCTCTCTGCGGCCCCTTTCTTTCTCTTCTAATCGTCAAGGAGAGTTTTAATGCTTAAGTTCTGAGGCTAATTTTCAAAAGGCATATTTAATTTTAAATAAGATAGTACCCAGAGATTTTTGCCCTCATTTTGAGATAACTTTATGATCTAAGTTCATGTTTCCTATAAACACAAGCCCCTATAGTTAATTACCCCTCCCGATAACAAGAGAGAACTTTTGATTAAGGCTAATCATCAAACATATGCATAGTATCTAGCATATAGTAGTAGTATGTTTAGGTATTTAAAATTTTAACATTTAAAATTAAAAATTAGTCACCTTAGAGGGGAGGGGAGGGGGGGCGGACAAAAATAGACCTGATCAAGATCCCATTGTTCTTTCATCCCAGGTCATCATGATCTCTGGTCTACTTATTTAGAGGAGGTAGTTGACCCATCTTGACAGAAGGATCCTTGTCAACAGTCATGAGTTGGTTCTTCTAAGCATATCCAATAGACCATTGGTGAATATTTGTCTAATGGAACGAATTGAATCCACCTTAGCTAACAAAGGGCTTTGTACTTATATCCTATTGAATCATTGCTTAATGATTTGAATACACTGGGGAACATACGGGCTCTAACAATAACTGTAATATAATGGTGTCATTTAGCAATAAAACCACACAATCAGACGGTCCCTATCATAACATTTTACATGCAACATCATTTGGCGGTGAAACCATTAGTTAGAGGACCTATTTCATGTCCTTATTGGCAAGAGGTAGTTTAATAATGAATCCTAATGGTATTCTCAACCAAACATTACTCTTTGTGAGCTAAAGTCATTTTCAAAATTTTCCACCTCGGCAAACTATTGCTGAGGGTGGATGAATATTTTACTTTAAGTATTTTGGTGATTTATATCATTTTAAATATCTTGATTTTGGGGTGATCTTTGATATTTTAATTTTCATGAGCATTTGTGAGTTTTGGGAGGCATTTTAGAGTATTTGGAGTCCCCTTCAATTGAGATGTTTTGTCAAAACAGCCATCAATGGGATGCTTATGGGAAATTTTATTTTGTTGATCGAACCTTGTCGACTATATCTACTTACCAACAAAGGATCGAGTTCATCGTTAAGTTTTATACCTTTATTAATGAATTTTTCTTGTAATAGACCTTGAAGACCAAATATGAATATATGAAAAAAATATCCCGATCAATATCTTGACAATATATTTGTTTGATTGTTTGAGTCATATCAACTCATACCTATTCACATAGAAGGATCAGGCTCGAACTAAGGTTCATTCCTTTTACCTGCGTGGCCTCCTCAGACGTTACATGTATATCTGTAAAAATCTCGTTGAGGCTCATACGGGAATTCATATTTTAATATATAAGTGGTGTTTTTGCAATAATCAGCTTGCGCAAATAACTATTATTGAAAAATGCATAGGGTTTCATTTGGAAGCTTGTAGATGTCTTATGTCCGCTTGTACAAGTGTTGCGGATCCGGTAGCATAGCATTACACTAAGGTTATTTGTTTCTCCTTGTAGATGAATTATTGTTTAGCAATGTATAAGGCTCCACTTGGAAATTTATAAATGTCTTTTGCCCACTTTTATGCATGTTATGAATCTGATGACGTGGTGTTGTACTTCAATTATTGCAAATCGACGGTATTGTTTAGTTCATCTTATCTTCTGCAAGTTGATATTTTCCTCAGCATTCAACTTGCGGGAGTGTACTTCAGCCCACAAATATGTTGAACAACACATAAGGAGCCTTCCACCTGTCGCTTGCAAGTGAGTTAATTTATTCGTGTGACAGGTTGGAGTCGCAAATATGTTGCCTCAATTTATCAGTTGTCCACAATTTTTACTACTGATTCCTTGTTTTTTCTCACAGTTGAATCATAATGTTAGCAAATTTTATTAAATTTGTATGTGGGTAGTGCTCCGACAATGACATTCAAATGCCATCCGTTGT